CATATATATATATAGACGCGCCAAAGGACAAATTAAAATTAGTATCAAAAATTATGAATAAAAAGAATAAAGGCTACAAAAACTTAAAAAAAAGACTCCGAAGCAAATTGAATTAGTGAACGAATAAATCATTTAAAAAAAAAGAGAAAGATTTAAAATTAAAAAATATAAAACCCTCGGAAACTCGTAGCAAAAAAAACCCGTTTCAATAAGATATAAACACACAAATGAAAACCATAAATAATAATACTACTATCAATAATGATAATAATAAATAATAATAATAAGACATTATATTACAGTAAGAATTTACATGTTTATATGATATATATATATATATATATATATATATCATAAGGTGTGATATGCATTATTATAGGCATTTATATACATATTATATATATATATACATATATATATATATATATATAAGCGTGTTATTAAGCGCAGTGATATATATATATATATATTTTTATATATACGTACTTACATAAATTCTTTTAGATGTATTATTAATGGAAATTGGTTTTTCAGAATGTTTGTCAGCGTTTAATCATTTGATAATTTGGTTGGTCGATTGGTTGATTGGTTGGTTGATTGATTGGTTGGTTGATTGGTTGATTGGTTTGTTGATTAATTGATTAATTAATTGATTGATTGGTTGATTTAATGATTTTTAAACTTTTTACTTTAATTTAAAAAAAAACCATACCGAGAAGATTAATTTTTTTATTGAACTACCACTTGCTGACTGCGATAGATAAAATGTTTGAAACTTTCTTAAATTTATAGGAAGATTAACTAACTAGTCCTTCTGCATTAATTTCAGTTCATCATTCATGCACTCATTATCATCTTCATCGTCCCTCATTAATCATCTTACTCTTCCATCCCATCGTCACCATCTTCCTCCTCCTCCTCCTCCTCTCTCTTCATCCTCATCACTCTCCACTCCCATACTTATCTCTCCGACCTCTGAAATTATCCGGTACGGATTCGTTATTTTTTTGTTGTAAAACTTGCTTAGGACGCTGGTAGACGGTATTTCGCGTTTTGCCGCTACCACCGTTACCACCAGCGACGTTATTTTCGTGGTGGCTCAACTGCTGCAGCTGCTTGCCGCTACGCTGCTTCGTCAGGCTGCCGTTGCCGGCTGTCTGGTGGTGGTTGTTGTTGAACTGCGAGGTCGACGACAGATCTGAATTTGAGATGACACCAGACGGCAGGGCTTCCTGATGTAGTAAGGAATGTTGTTGCTGTGGTAGTTGCTGCTGCTGCTTTTGTAGCGGTTGTGGCTGTGGTGGTTGCTGCGCAGTGGCCTCGCTCGACTTGCGTTTGATCCAACGGTGTCGCAGTGCTTCCGATGGAGTCATCCTAACGTTGGCGTCGAACTCGAGACATCGCTGTAAGAAATCAACGAAGATGGAGTCTTCGGCGGCGGCTGATCCCGTCACGGATCCGTTGTGTCGGAGTGCCGTTGTCAGGGGTTTCGTTCCGGGAGGTCCGCGGTACTTGCCGCGTTTTGATCGACCCCCCGTCAGTTCAGGCTGACTGCCGTTCTCGTCGTTAGCTGGTGCAACTAATGAACAGTACCTTGGAATACCTGGCATGGAGTGGATGGATGGTATGTGTGTTGGTATGTGTGTGCGTGTGTGTGTGTGTTGGTTTGTGTATGCGTGTGTGCTGGTGCGTGCCTGCCTGAAACGAACCCTGTGAGTTGATGAAGTTCCTGGTCCGCTTGCAACTTTCAAACAGCCTCCTATCGGGCATGCCGAGCACTTCGAAGATGCAGGCCAGCTGGTCGCCCTCGTCCTCACCAGGAAACAGTGGGTAGCCTGAAAATTCATAAGTGAATGAATGAATGAATAAATGAATGAATGAATAAATGAATGTGAGTGAGTGAGCGAGCGAGTGAATGAATAAACGAACGAATGAATATACACAAACAAAACCAACCCAACCAACAAAAGAAACGCACCGGTGAGTAACTCGGCTAATATGCAGCCGAAACTCCACATATCGATAGGGGTGCCATATTTGGCTCCCAAGATGACCTCAGGTGCCCTATAGAACCTCGACTGTATGTACGTGTATATACGCTGAGTCTCGTAGCAGCTAGAACCGAAATCTATCACCTGTTTGGGGTTTCGTTTCATACATCCATTCATTCATTCATTTGTTCGTTCGTTCATTCATTCATTCATTTATTCGTTCGTCGTTCATTCATTCGTTCGTTTGTTCATCCACTCAGCTATTCAATTGTATGTATAAAGAGTCAAAGGTCAAGCGATTTTTTTTTGCAACATAGGAAACCTTTCCATGCTAAACTTGATGATTACTAACTCATTAATTTTTCATAACAATATCTGAAAATGTAATGTGAGAGAGAAAGAGAGAGAGAGAGAGAGAGGGAGAGAGAGAGAGAGAGAGAGAGAGAGAAAGAGAGAGAATAATACCGTATTTTTTAAATTCTCGATCGAAAGTCGTTCAAAATTTAAAAGACAAGGCAATAAATTACAATATATTAAAAAATAATTAATCATACGTAAGAATAATAACGCGAAACACCAAAACAACAAAAACAACAACAACAGCAATAACAACAACAAAACAACAACAACAACGACAACAATAGCAATAATAATAATAATAACTATTATATTAAAACGATTGGTTGGGGAAATGAGATTTTTTTTGTTCTTACATTCCCTCATATTAATATTATTATTATTGTTATTATTGCATACTTGCCTTTGAGGGCTTACATACACCTGGGCCCATGTTAAAGATAGTAATAATAATAAGAAGAAGAAGAAGAAAAAGAAGAAAAATTGACATTCACAAAAGAACGATGTTTAGCATTGCACCTGCAGAAAATTCAACTCTCGTAAATAGGGAGGAACCTTATGTTATACTCATCAAATTTAAACTTCTTAATTTCATTTCGTCTCATCTTATCTAAAATGACGAAACATTTTTAAAATTATTATCAATGTAATTATTAAAGATCATTTAGTAACACCCACACGCACACGCATGCACACACACACACGCGCGCGCACGCACACACACGCACAATCACAAGCAATCATACATACATAATAAAAATATTCCTATGCATAATTTAATCAATTTTATTACTTTATAAATACGCAATGAGAATAGATGGAGTTGTTTATTGACTGAATGATAGAAAATTGGGGTGAATTAGTGGGATGCGTGCGCGTGAAATTAAAAGGTGCATTTTAAATGGTAGATTTTTCGGCACAATTCATCAAAGGGGTACTTTATTAATAATAATTTCTGCTATTGTTGCAGTTATTGTTTAAGTTTATGTTACTTTTAATGTTATCAATGTCGCTGCTTTTAAAGTTGAATGACTTTTAGAACTAAAAAACCAACCGACAAAATAACCAATCAATCAACCAACCAACAGCCAACCAACCAACCAACCAATCAACCAGCCAACCAACCAACCAATCAGCCAACCAACCAACTAATCAACCAACCGACCAACCGACCGACTAACCAACCAACCAACCAACCGACCGACCGACCGACCGACCGACCGACCGACCGACCGACCGACCGACCGACCAACCAACCAACCAACCAACCAACCAATCAACCAACCAACCAACCGACCTTGATTCCACTTCTACCAGATTGCTTCAGTAAAACATTTTCCGGTTTCATATCACAGTGAATGATAGAATGCGTGAAGAGCAGCTGCAAGCACTGCAGCATCGAGTAGGCGAATTTTCTCACTAAGGGTAAGGTAAAACCCTGTGGAAAAGAAAGGTCGTCATCTTCATCATCATCATCATCATTATTATCACTATTATTATTATTATTAATTATAATAAAAATAATAATTATTATTATTATTTTTGTACGATGATAAATAAAATGATGTTAATGATGACGAAAATAAAGGTAATGGTAAAAAAATATTAATGAATGAATCTCTGCTTACCCAAACAACTTAGCAACCAATAAACAAGCATGCTTGTCCGTTGTTGTATTACATAAAATATACAAACATATACAAAAAACAAACAGACAAACAAACGAAAATTAATATACCAACAATTGCAAACAAATGTGTGAACAAACGCTGAAAGAACTGTAAGAACAATAACTCTACATGACTATATATAAATTTATTTAACCGTATATAATACTATACAACTATATATAATCAATTAATTCTACATAACTATATATAAATCTATATAACTCTATATAACACTACATAACAATATATGATCAATAACTCTACATAACTATATATAAATCTATATAACCATATATATCACTATATAACTTTATATAATTAATAACTCTACATAACTATATATAAGTCTATATAACCGTATATATCACTATATAACTATATAAATTAATAATTCTACATAACTATATATAAATCTATATAACCGTATATAACACTATATGACTATATATATTCAATAACTCTACATAACTATATTTAAATCTATATAATCGTATATAACACTATATCACTTTACTACTCTACATAACTATATATATATATATCTATATAACCGTATATATCACTAAATAACTATATATAATCAATAGCTCTAGCTATATATAATCAATAACTATATAATCAATAAGTCTATATAACCATATATATCACTATATAACTATATAAAATAAATTACACTATACAACTTTATATAAATCTATAAAACCGTATATTACACTATATGACTATATATATTCAATAACTCTACATAACATAATATAAATCTATATAACCGTATATAACATTATATGACCATCTATATTCAATAACTCTACATAACTATATATAAATCTAAATAACCGTATATATCACTATATAACTATATATAATCAATAACTCTACATAACAATATATAAATCTATATAACTGTATATATCACTTTATAACTATATATAATCAATAACTCTACATAACAATATATAAATCTATATAACTGTATATAACACTATATAACTTCAATAACTCTACATAACTATATATATATCTATATAACCGTATATATCACTATATAACTATATATAATCAATAACTCTACATAACTATATATAAAAATCTATATAACCGTATATATCACGATATAACTATATATAATCAATAACTCTACATAACTATATATAAATCTATATAACCGTATATATCACTTTATAACTATATATAATAAATAACTCTACATAACTATATATAAGTCAATATAACCGTATACAACACTATATAACTATATATAATTAATAACACTACATAACTATATATAAATCTATATAACCTTCGAACTACCACTAAACTAAACTGGTTTATCTAATCGCCTCAGTGGCTCTTAATTATTAAGCGCTAAGCGCAGAAGTTTTAGGATCGTCACAAACTATATATAAATCTGTATAACCGTATATATCACTATATAACTAAATATGATTACACACACACACCACACACACACAAACAAACGAACAAACATACACACAAACAAACATACAAACAAACATACAAACAAACACATAAACAAACATACATACAAACAAACAAACAAACCCACAAACAAACCCACACATGCCTACCTACAGCACGCCCACATGCGTACCTGAAACTTATTCCTCTTAATGAGTTCATAGAGATTCATACTGAGAAGCTCGAACGTGATGCAGATGTGGTTGCGAAATGTGAAGTGGTCGATGATGTGGATGACGTTGCACGAATTGTTGACATCCTCTCGCTTCAAATGCTGCAGGATTCTTATTTCCTCTTGCGCCTGTCGATGGAATCTTTTCTCATTCCGGACCATCTTAAGCGCTACATCAGTTCGAGTTTTGTGGTCGTAGGCCTTTACTACCTGCCCAAAACTGCCCTTTCCTATTGTTCGCAAGACCTTTGCGGGTGTGTGAATGTGTGGCGATGTGTGTGCGTGCGTGTACGTGAGGCGATGTGTGTGCTGCTGTTCTCTATGGACGGACGTGGGCTGCAAATGCAATCTTATATAATTCGGTAAAATAATTCGGTTAAATTTTAAAAGAATTGGAACAGCATATTTGTTGATGAGCTATCTAAACATCCTGTCCCATTTTTAATTGCAGTTCCTCTAATGAACATTAAAATTAATGAAAAAATTACAAAATTTAAACAGCAAAACAGACAAGCAAGCAAGCAAGCAAGCAAGCAAGCAAACAAACAACAACCTCATATCTGTAAGCAATGTGGTCTTGAGGAATGTGAATGTAGGAGCCCTGGTCATCATCGAAACCATCGTTATTGGCAGTACCAACAGCATTCTGTCTCTTGTTAGCATTCTGCCCTATAAAGTATATATTCCTGTATAACTGTATCTCGGAAAGTTCGTAGGGGGATAGTTTATCTGAAAATAATTTGATTGCAGCATCCGGGGACAT